CCCCAAAACCCCAAAACCCCAAAACCCCAAATGACAAATGGAGGATTGAAATGTATCTGGGCCTCACCAAGCTTGTGATATCATCCCAAACTCCTTTCTTTTACAATAAAATACTAAGAAAAGCGTTATATAAAAATACAAACATATTCATGAAGAAAGATTGCCAGCAATTAGGTTTCAGTTCCACCAAAAAAAGCTCAGAGAGAAGGTATTATTAAAAAATTAAAAATTAAATTTCCATCTTTATATGGGAGACAGCATCAGGTTTTGTTCTTTAATATAAGTTACCATAAAAAGATTCTTTGGAGTGCCATCTTGATGTTGGAGCTGATTTTGTTCTCTTTCTGGGTGATTTAGATGACTTAAACTACTATTTTTACCTTTTTCTTTGCTAAAATATTAAATTTTTGATCAAAATATGTTGTATTTCTGTGGAAAATGTCATGGTAAATTATGATTAAAAGCTTCACTTAAATAAATGAGACAGAAATTTGCAGAAGAAGGTTAGATGTAAGAAATTTAAAGAACTGATGAGGACGTCCTTTCTTGTTTATGTGATTTTAAAGATAAAAATATTCTTTAACTAAAAATATCCAAGAATGATATTTTGATGCTTCACGCCTGTTTCAAAACTCTCTAGAAGGCTGAAAGCCCTGTAGATCAAAGAATAATCTTCCTTCTTACAATTTAACTATTTTCTCAAGAAAAATAGATAGAGAAGGGCATAAAATAAGTTAAGAGAAATCAAATGTACACAATTTGATTAGAAAGATGTCAAGGTGTCGTGTATATCAAACTCTTGTCCCTTTGGCGATAAGATTAGATGAATAAGAATAGTGAGGGGATGTTAGAGTTATAGAAGGGATATGTTGTATCTTTACTGTAAAAATTTATTTTGAGAAGCGATGGTATCTATGATGATAAAAAAAAGTGTTATTTCATGCCTTAAAGCTTAAATGAAAAGCCAAAGGCTTGGAAACTGTAAGGAAAGAACTTCAACTAAGGTCATTAAGCGGTTCTGCATAAAATATTCCATAAAATAATTTCCAAACACCACAAAGCAAATGAACTCCTGATGGAATTTTACCAAAATTTTATACTAATTAAGTCTCAATTTCTTCTTCCCTTGCAAATATCTTTGTATTTTTATTACCCTTCTAAATAGATCAGTTATCATATCGGCAATCATTCTTGTAAATATGCTATAAAGAGGCTAAAAAGAGACTGAAACTCTCTGAGACAGCATCATTAAGAGTAAGCCTGTTAATAAATTTTGATTAAGATATCCCTCCAAGTAAGTTTAGAAAATTGATAATTATCAAGAATTAATTACTAGTCTCCACACTTTAACGACTATCCTGATTACGATTTCGACCTATTTCAAGCTGAGCGTTGATACCTTCCTCCATAGTTTGGAAGATCTTTTGAATATAGGCCTTATCATGTTCGCAATCTCCCTTAACTATACTGCTAACCTCTATTTTTCCCTGCTGAACGCCCTTGATGAAATTTCTCATAAGATATCTTATTTCTGGGATAAGTATGGCTTTCCGGAACTTTATCTCTGAATAATTCTGAAAAATGTTCTTTAGAAGCTCAATTATCTTCTTGAGTGCATTCAGCTTCTCTCTTGTTTCAGAGTTGTTGCTTTGAGTAATCATCAAGTTAATGATATCTTGGGAGTACTTTGGAAAAAGGAACGAGCTAAGTAGAAATGGGAACTGAGGACTCTTATCCAAAAAGCCTCTTAATTTTCAATACTTCAGCATAGATGATTTAAGTGATTCAGCTCTCTTAAACCTATTATTTTCGGAAGAAATAAAGCTAGAGGCTTCAATAAATTGTTGCTTATAGTACCCTTTCATCTTTCTAAGGAAGAATTTGTAACAGACGTCTTTTCTATAACGATATAGACTTCTGGTTGTTTTGATTTCCTCTGAGTTACTATCTTCAGTCTAAAACAAAGTTATAAACCTTAATAAAGCGAGAGGCTTACCTTCTTCTCCAAACTGTTGCTCGCTTCTGATTGGTTCCTCTTTTCCATTTCCTGCTTATACTTCCTTATATCAGTGTTTGAACAGAAGATTGTCCCTCGAGAGCTTATTTCAGGTATTTCCTGACCTCCTTTGATTTCTAAAGATTAGTTAGTATGCTCAAGTGAAGGAGGAATAATTTTATGCTTTCAAACTCCAAATTCTTTGCAAACTTTGAGTTAAAAGAAATTATTAATTAGATTTGCCAAAAATTAAGAAGAATCGTCCTAATATGTGCAAGTAGAAGGGTATCCTTATATCCTGATTTCTTATCTCTTTGATACAAGAGTGAACTTACACTTTAAAATTTCTGAGCTGAATTAAAAAATTAAGAGATAGGAGCGATTCAAAGTAAACCAATTTAGCTTTATTAATAACATAAATCCATCGCAGAATGTTGTCCTTACTTAAACCTTTGAGATTTAGAGTCTCCATAGTTAATGCAATTTATTAATAATAAGACCAAGTCATAATTTATATATGATGTTTAAAAGTTGGTTTACATTACATTTCGGAAGTCACTATCTCACCTAGGGTTAGTAACCCATTATTCAGCAGAAAATGACCAGAATTAGATAATCCGAACTGATTTTTGGTGAAATTAAACTTTTTGCACCAAAATTTTCCTTTTATATAAGGTATAAGAGCAATCATTACTCTTTAGAAAATTAAAAGACTCTTATTTAGCACTTTGAGAGAGGTCTTAAAGAAAAGACAGTAGGACATGAGGAATAAAGACTATTTTTATCTTCAAGTTCGAACTTTGAAAATTATATAATTATTCAACAAATTTCTTATTCCAAGTTTGGAAAATTCATTAAAATTTACTGTAAAAATTTCTTCTAAAATATCAGCTAGGAATTGGAATATTGAGGTGATTCATGAATTCTTCACCTAAAATATCATTTGTAGGTGAATTGGAGGAAATATTCCACACCAGAGGTTGTTGTATATGCTGAAGACGCTTTGAAATATCACCTTGTTGTATAACCATTTTGGAAGAAAAGATATCGACTTTTTGCAATTAAGAAGACAATTGAAGCCTAATAAAGCCAATAACCCTTGATATAATATCAGGAATTAAACAGGAAAAATGAGGAGATATAGAGGAGTGCTTATGATAGGCCTTCAATTAATATGAGATTGAAGATATTATCTATCCAGATAAGTGGACCAATTTATGCCATTGATTGCCTTAAGATGATACATTAAAATTTTACTCCTTACAAAGCTCAACTTTTAGAGAACAGTTAAAATTAATTCTTCGTAATATGTTTAGATTTGAAAATAGTGTTATTTTGAAATATAGCCTTCAGACTATTATTTTAAGTTTGAAATTAAAGAAATTTTTCGGGTGAAAAATTCTAAGATAACAAACAACTCTGAATAGAATGGTTTTAAACGTACCTAAGGCTTAAACTAATCATGCCCTTAAAAAGCATAAAGTACAATTATTTTAATATCTTATGGACTCTTTAAGTAAGACTTATTCATCACTAAAGTATCTTGGTAGAAGCTTGTTCACTGAAGGTTTAGTCTCTAGATATTAACATAACTAGCACTGAGAAATCTAAAATTTATATTAAAATTCTTTGAAAGTTTGGTGTAGGTTTATCCTTTCCCACCCTAATCCATCAATATCACAATCCTATTAAAGCGAGGACAGCATCGACCAAAATTGATAGGATGCTATATAGAAGCTGTACATTGAGTGTCATTAAAAACCTTCATTTAACTTGAAGTCAATAAAGAATTGGTTAAGACCAAAGCTTACATTCCTCATTCCACTCAAGAAGCTCTCCTTATTTTGCTCCTGCAACTTACTAGTCGAAGTTTAGAGAACCATCCTGACGGGTAGGTTTCAAGTCTAAAGAATTTCTTCAACCAGATACTTATTTTAAAGACTGCTTAGCTCGAGTTATCCAATTAGTTTAATTCTTACTTGGTCATCCACTATCTTAAAGAGTTTCTAAATCAAAAAAATTGTTAGCCAGAATCAAGTTTGGCTTTTAAGGAATTCGAAAATTATGAAATAATTACTGTATTTTGTTCTGGTTACCATTATCAGAAACTTTTATGATAATACCTAACATTTTTAATAGGCAAAAGTTACTTGGGTGATGACCTCTGTTCCTAGGTTTAAAGCAAAAGAAGGAAATCTACTCTTTTCTCATAGTTAAGATTTCTCAGGATATTTATAATCTATTTAATTTGATCAAGGGTTCTTTGAAATTTTATCATTTGTCTAATGGAAGCCGGAAAGAAAATATTATCACTAGATAATATTAGTTATTTTCTATTATCAATCCTTCTAATGATGCATAGGAGTAATAAACTAAAAATACTGAATTATAGCTAAAATAATCATACTCACTATTCTATTTGGTGTCCAAAATAAGTCCTCCTGATGACAAGAGAGCAATAAAAAAATTAAACTGCTAAAAACTAATAGTCTAAACAAATCAATAAACTTCTTCACTAAAATCACTATACAATATCACCTAAAATTTTTACAAACACACAAAACTTTCTACTAAAGCCCCCATCTCAACCCCAAAAACCCCAAAACCAATTCCCCAAAACCCCAAACACTCCATTACCCTTACCCCCATAAAAAAACCCTTAAAACCACTCCAAACTCCCCTACTCCACCTCCTTCCCTCACTTCTACCTCTCTTCCCTTATTTCAATCTCTTTCCCCCTCAACGGGGTTTTGGGGTTTTGGGGTTTTGGGGTTTTGGGG